TGCAGGTAGCGGCGGACTGCTGTAGTATCCAACATAGTAAGTTTGCGGGGTTTGTACGGGGTCTTCTGTGGTTTGTACCCGCCCAAAGATTTCTCCAGGTCGATATCAATCCAAAGACCACGATGGTCGCAGGGGAAAAACTCATCGAAGTTGTAGTAATCTCCTGCCTGTACAGCCACCCCAGAGGTTGTGAAAATGCCGTCGATCGGTTTGCCCCTTTTGTTCCGGTGCTGAGTGGCGGCCGTTCGACCAGGGTGTCGTTGGAGGATAGCTTCTTCCATACCAACATCGCGAAGACGTTGGCGAAAGGAAGAGGACTTAGTGGAGCTGATGTCCTCATTGGCGTCGACCCCCAAGGGCGGTGGATAGCTTAAGGCTCGGTGGGATGTTGGCACCAGGGTAGATAGGGAAGAACTTTTTGACTTCGGTGAACACTCCGTCCCCACTAGGCCAGTGGATTTCCTCTGGGGGGTCGGTGCTATCGGGGGCCAAGGCAGTGTGGGCAGAGTATTGGGCGTCGTGAAGGTGCCGGGCTTGACATTCTTGAGCGAGGTCGTCGCGTGCAATAGAGATGACGCTGCTGCCAAGGGCATCTAAAGAAAAAGCAACTGAGGTGGGAGCATCATAGCTATCATTTGCGGATGCCCAGTGTAGGTTGGGACCGACCTGCCTAGCGCAGATGACTTGCCGGAGGGTTCCATCGGCGCCATCAAAGTACGCAATCCATGCGCTTGGGAGAGGAGGATGTTTTTGCACTCACTAGCAACATGGGTGTAGAAGTAGTTGGAGAGGAGGAGGTTTTCCTTAGTGTTATCCAGGGGTAGGTCCTTGACGGTTGTCAAGGCAGAACGACCGACCTGGAGGATGGCATCAAGGGTGCATGGGGGAAAGGTCTGCATTGGTTCACTGAAATGGCCAATACTGGAGATTTCTGAGTGGGCTATTGAAACGAATAGTGACTATTGGGGGTAACGTTTAAATGAAATTTTGTTGGTTGGAACGGTCGGTTCTTAGAGGTAGTAGTGCCTAACGGAAGGATGCCTTGTGGAGTATCCAGGGTGGGCCATCATGGTGTTACAAAACGGAAGGCTTGGCGTAGTCGGAGTGCCTAGATGCGCTGCCAGTCTTTGGCGAAGGCAATGGCGACGGGACTCACACGGTTGGCTCATAGTGGGTTTGGTGCGGAGGTCCGCGGAGGTGGAGTTGGCCGAATTGGGCGGGGTCTCACTCGAACTTTTTTCGAAACTGCCAGTGCCGCACAGGATGGAACGGGTCCGGAGGATCGGGAACCTGGAAGTACGGGTGCATGGCAGTGGATGGTCTCCCACCGGTAGGGAAGTGAGCAGGGAAATGGGCGATGCTGCAGGTAGGGAACTGGTTGAGACTCCCAGGGAGAATAGTTGGTTGTTGACGGGCAACGAATGCACAGGTGCATTGGATAGGGTGGTAGCGTGGGGCTAAACCACCTGACACCTGGTTTCGGTTCAAATATCAGGAATACACCGGTGGGTAAGTTAAACAGCGGATGGGCGCTGACGCAACGGTGCATTTTGATTGGGCTCCTGGGGGGAGAGTTGGTCGTTGACGGGCAACGAATGCACAGGCGCATTGAATAGGGTGGTAGCATGGGGCTAAACCACCTGAAACCGGGTGTCGGTTCAAATATCAGGAATTTGAGGGTGCCACCGGTGGGCGAGTTAAACAGCGGATGGGCGCCAACGCAACGGTGCATTTTGATAGGTCTCCCGAAGGAGCAGTTTTACGTCAAATGCGACGCTCTCGGGTACGTGAGAGGAGATTGGGATGCTGCAGGTTGATTTGGCTCAAATCGGATTTGAGAATGCAACCTGGAGCAAATTGGGATGGACGACTCCGGGAGTCGGGTAATGAGTAGATTGCAAGAAAATAGGGCCCGGTATCAACAAACCCAGACCCCACACGCAACTCCTCCCATGTCTGAGCCACTCTACACTATGTTTACGGGCCCTGGCGCCGACAACAACCAACAACTTCTTCTGGAAGGCAAACTCCCCATCCCTGGTGGCCTGGCTTACCCTACCCAAGCCTTCCTTCGCCACTGTCGACTTCACGACAGTTATCGGCCTCGTCCTTTCCCATTGACGGTTGAAGAGCACGTGGACTTTTGGAGTCGCACTCCTGAGAACAAGGGTTCTGAGCCCCACGACCTCCATAATGGCCACTTCAAGGCAGGCGCCCTCTCGGAACTGTTGGCTTCTTGTGATACGGCGTTTCGGGACCTTCCACTCCATTCAGGCCATGTTCCGGAACTCTGGAAGAACCTGATGAACTTTGCGATTGAGAAGAAGCCTGGCGACTTCCGCCCACAAGGGATGCGGACCATCCAGCTGTTCAACTCGGAGGCTCAAGCCAACTACAAGAAAGCGGGTCGGGCTGCAATGAAGAATGCTGAAGAGGATGACATCATCCCTAAAGGACAGTGTGGGTCACGGAAGCAGCACCAGTCCATTGATCTCGCCCTTTCCAAACGATTGATCTGGGACTCGCTCATCCTGGAACGACGGTCTTCCGGCTGGATCTCGAACGACGCGAAGTCTTGCTTCGATCGCATCGTTCACTGGGTAGCGAAGACGGCCTTGCGGAGATTTGGCCTGCCGGTCACTGTCACCAACCTAATGTTCGATATCTTGGCAAAGGCTAAACACAGGGTCCGAACTGGCTTTGGCGACTCGGATCGGACCTTTGGGCCCACTGGCGATGTTCCCTTCCAAGGCTGCGGTCAAGGCAACGGCGCAGGCCCGTGCATCTGGGTTGCAATCAGTGCCATCCTCATTGACGCCATGGAGGCCGAGGGATTTGGGTACAAGAGCCGAACTGCCCTCACCAACGAGGAGTTCTTCGCTTCGTGCTTCTGCTTTGTTGATGACACCGATGTCATGGAGTCAAACGACAACGTGGAGACGACTGGCGAAGACCTCCTCCCTTCGGCACAGTCGGCTTTGGACCTTTGGTCGGGTGGCATCAGTGCCACTGGTGGAGCTATCAACCCGGCGAAGTCCTTCTGGTGGCTGATTGATTTCAAATGGCGGCCGTCCTCTGACACGTGGGTGTTTTGAAGGAAAGCTGAAATGCCTGGCGAACTGACCCTCCAAGAACCTACTGGGCTTTGGGCGACACTACAACGCCTCCAACCAGATGAAGCTGAAAGGACCCTGGGAGTCATGATGGCCCCACTTGAGACCGGAACAGCACAGCACCTTGCTCTGCGGGAGAAGGCCAAGAACTGGGCAGCCAAGTTCCGTCCTCAACACCTACTTTGCTATGATGTTCTTCCCTTGATCAAGGCAACCGCCTTGAAAACTTTGGAGTACGTGATGCCCCTTTCCACCCTCGGCCGCTCCGACTGGGCGTCCATCATGTCACCGATCCTCCAAGCGAGCTTGCACAAAGCTGGGGTTTGCTGTTCCTTTCCCCGCGTCGTGGTCTTTGCCCCTCTGAAATATCAGGGATTGGGTATCCCGCATCCTTTTGCCCTTCAAGTCTTCCACCATCTCAGTGTTCTGATGCGCCATTCGGCCAACCGTACCAAGACCGGCCAGTACCTGGAGGCCAACCTACAGTCCCACCAACTCGAAACGGGCACCTCCTTTCCCCTTCTTCAACAAGAACCCACCAACACCGGGATCCTTGCCTCCGAAACATGGCTCAAACGGGTTTGGATCAAGCTCGACTCTTTGGGCATCAGAGTTGAGATCTCCTCACCTCCCTTGTCCCTACACCGTGCCAACGATCGTCTCTTGATGGACATCTTCATCGATGCCGTCGATCCTGCCTTGTGAAAGTCCTCCGACTCCAACTGGCGGATAAGGAGGAATGGGTCCTCGTCATCTCCAAAGCCCGCCGCAAAATCAGACAATATCTTGCAGGCAGGCGACGATTGATGTGAGAACTTACCCACCCTACTCCTCGCCCAGCAGCCCCCTGACTTACTTGTCTACATATTTACCAAAGTGATTCTGGTACCAGTACATCACAAGCCACACGTACCCCAGTCTAACACATACATATTCTCCACCCCACCTCGCGTGGGAGAGCCGATTGTCCTTTGACACTTTCGACTTGCGAGCAACGTTCCTCTATTGAACGCCTCCACGTGGTTCAAACTTTGTTGACCAAAAGCAACCTAGTTCCTGGCCTCTACAGCCGTATTACACCGGCAGTTGGATACTCTAGAAGTAGCATAAATACCAATTAATGATTCAGTTATATATATATATATATATATATATATATATATATATATATAGCTCCTTTGTATAAGCAGAGAAGTTAACTTCTGCAGGAATGAACGAGCATGATCCAATCTTCACAATTTCTCCATACTGCAACGGAGAAGGGTAGCACCCAGCGCCTCTACCCAATTGACGTAGTCCAGTGTGAAGGTAGTCTTGGACGGCCTTGACAGAAGCCTCAGAAGAAAAGCCGACGCGAAGGCGTGTGCTTAGTTTCTTCTCGCCCGGCTTGCTGTTGGTTGCCGCGTAAGGACAGTTACCGTATTCCATATCACAGTAAGTCGACAAGGTGCGATAAGTCAGAATGCAATTACGTAAATCCACTGAGTTTCGAATCCAAAGATTCTGTTGTTTATATGTGGTATCGGAGATTGGAAGGAGCTTCAATTCATGAGGGGAATTGTTAATGGCTTCCTCCATTGAATTCAGAACTGTTGACAAGAGCGCATCCGCCACAGTTCCTGAATCCGACCCTTGATAGTTCACAGAGAAAGTAGTCTCAAAGATGTGACACTTGCCTGATACCCCTGCCATATTCACCTGAATGAGGTTAGAAATCCGTTTGGCAAGTGTTGGTGGACGTTGAACGCAACGAGGGGTTGTTTCCGAGGGCTCCATAAGGATCCCCGTACCTGCTGAGTCTTGTGTTGCCTCGAGGTTGTGGGAAGTCAACGGTGGAGTGTTGTCGTCCATGGCCTCATCGTGCGTATTCGTCCCATCGCTATTGACCCGTTCATCATTGTCATCTTCCTCCATTGCGTCGTCCACAGTGTTCTCTCTGTTTTCAGTGTCATCAGCATCATTGTCTTCATCTTCGTCCAATGATTTGGGCGCCTTGGAGAGATTCTTTTGCACCGCCACCACTTTAACCTCGTTGGACTCTTGAGTTCCACTACCGTCGGACGATTCATCGTCACTTTGTAGAGATGCAAAACGATTTGAGTTTTGCGCCTGGTCCCCCACAGATCTGGCGGAATATCGTTGAACATCTGTGTTGAGATATGACGAAATATGAGTTTTTACGTTCCAAAAGAAACTATTCAAGTACGAGGTTTTCAACACGTGCGATCGGACTTTGATCCTGCCTGATGTCAGGATTCGACGCAAGTGTGCCGGACGCAAGTCTGTCGGACAATCTGTATCCACACAAACAGGAAAAGATCCTGTACAAGTGGAATATTGATGTTGTGTACGATGCAGTAGGGAATTATGCAAGATGTCCCAAAGTACTGCATTCAACACAGAATTGCCGTAGAAATCGAATCGAGTTCTGTAAACAAGGGATTTTCCAAGGGAAAATCGTCGAACTCACTTTTGTGATTGAATCATCAATTCA